AAAATAAAATATTTAAAAAAAAAAAAAAAAAGAAATCATCCTAACTCCTTTAACCAGTCCTCACAGTGCCAGTTTTCTACTTCTTATATCCTTTTCATTGATCTTCCGAGAAGTGGTTAGATTTTATAAATGCAAGGAGAGGTTTTGAACTGACATTGACCTCAGCCTATATCCAGTCCCTCTCCCTTCCTCCCACAAAATGAAGTGCAAACTTCTCAGTCCACAGTTCCAGATCCTTCACTGTCTAGTGCCAAACAGCATTTCCAGAACTTGTTTCAACATATGAGTAGTCCTTGAGAATAACATAAATTGATGTCACATATACATTATGAAAACTCAGTCTAGGGGCGCCTGCGTGGCTTAGTCGGTTGAGCATCCGACTTTTGGTTTTGGCTCAGGTCATGGCCTCAGGGTCGTGAGATCAAGCCCTGCATCAGGCTCCATACTCAGCGGGGAGTCTGCTTGAGAGTCTCTTTCTCCTTCCTCAGCCCTTCCCCCTGCACGCTCTCTCTCCCTCTCAAATAAATAAATAAATATTTAAAAAAATAAAATGAAAGCTTAGTCTAATGGAATGGGGCTCTGTATTTTTATGTTTTATGCCAACCTGCACATCACTACTTTTTTTCCCCCCCTGCTAGAACCTATTATTAAGCCAGTGAAAACCAAGAAATTCACTCTGATGGAGCAGACATTACCTGTCACGGTGTATGAAATGGAGTAAGTTATAAGGTCTCTCTGCCTCTCTGCACAAATAGTGTGGGTTCATTTTTCTGTGGATGTAGGATGTGGTTTGTGGTTGAAGTAGCTAGTGAATTGAAAAAGCAAAAATCCTCTCCTACAATTTGTCAGAATTTTCCTTGAGCATACGGTTGCTGGAAAAGTTAAGCCAATCTTAAATTTTCTTTTGGATCTCATTTAGATCTCGGCCTTTTCTCTTCCAATCCTTTAGTTGGGTATTAGAAGCCGGCCTTTGAGGCAGAACTGGGTATTGTAATCATCAGTGTTGGGGCCACCAGAGCCTATTTTGACTTGGTAAGATTGCTTAGTGTTTGGGGAATATAACAACTCTTTATTTTGGAGAGGAGGGTACAAGTAGGTGGATACATGTGTAGAGTAGTTTAGACTCTTCATACTGCAGGCTTTCTGAAAATATTTTCATTGATGAAATGCACTTGTAAGGTCCTCCTATATTGAAGTGCTTGGGACTCATTATTAGATAATGAAACTCTTTTTTTTTTTTTAAAATATTGACATTTAGTATGTCCGAAAGAGTGGGATCTCTTCTGAATGGTCAGCTCACCTGCCAACATTCAGCCATTTTTTAAACAACTTTTCAGTTGTCTTTAGAACTTTCTTCAGCTTCCCTTGTGTTCTCAATGGTGATTTTTTTTTTTAAATCTCAAATCTTTGAAAGCGTCCTAGATGTTTCAAAGAGCCAAAGTCCTCTGAAGGCTACTTGCCATGAGTTAATGTGGGTGATAAGCAAGAAAGACAGTGCTGGTTTTGATCAAGTTGGAACTCCTCAGCATCATTAATGAGATGGAGTTTTCTGAAAAGTTTTGTTAACTAGCTCTGAGGGCAATTTCAAAAGAGAAGCTGGGGTGCCTGGGTGGCTCAGTTGGTTAAGCGTTCCACTCTTGATTTTGGCTCAGGTCATGATCTCAGAGTTGCAGGATTGAGCCCTACGTCAGACTCTGCACTCAGCACGGAGTCTGCTTATCCCTCTCTCTCTGCTCCTCCCTCCCTCACCCCCTCTTCTCTCTATCTCTAAAATTTTTTAAATCTTAAAAAGAGAAGCTCTCAAAGCAATTTTAAGTCCCCTTTGCATTAATAGAATAAATGCATAAATGGAATAAATGTAACCTGAGGATTTTGAAAGGAACAGTGCTTGTGTATGTGTGTGCATGCATGCTGGTATTTGGTTTTGCTTTTCTTGTTTGCTTTTGAAATCTCTTTTCGTGGGTTGTGTTACTTCATGGAAAAGTGTCTTCCATTTCCAGAGCCAGACCAGTGTAGATACAGAAATTCATGTCTGCCTCTGAGCATTCTCCAGTTGGTCTGAAAGTTGTTCCTGACAAAATACATGAAACCCCTTTGCACCACTTCCCATTTGGAAGCTTTTGCCAAAGTCCCTTTTCTCTTTTCCTTTCTCCTTTCAGTTTCTTGGCAGATCTGATGGATAACTCGGAACTCATCAGAAATGTGACCCTCTGTGGCCATCTCCACCATGGCAAGGTGAGAGAATTTTCAGCTACTGGGAACAGGATTTCTCTTCGTTCCTGCTCATTTTTTCAGCCCTCAGAGTCACAGGTTGGGGTTTGAGGCCATAATGCTGGATCTCCTGACTCTGGGGGGCCTCCGTGCCTAGTGGGAAACCTGCTGTGAAATTCTAGCTTTTCCTGAGCAGCAGATGGAGCCTGTTTCTAAGCCACTTGCAGCCTTGTGTCTACATCTGGACAGAAGAGGGGAAATTGAGCCTTACTCTGATTTTATAAGTTTTCATTTCCTGGGGGAATGCTTGTCCAAGAAAGATTTCATCTTTCATTTGAAAATAATCCTATGGCTTCACTGTTAATCCCTTGATGTCCCATAATCCTCCTTGCTCTCCTCTTCCTCTCCTTATCCCTAAATTATGTGGTATATTGGGCACTCAGAGAAGGGTAGAGTAGATTTTCCTTTGTGCTTAACGTATCTTAACCTTCTCTTCCCTTTCAGACATGTTTTGTAGATTGTTTAATAGAGCAGACTCACCCGGAAATCAGGAAGCGCTATGACCAAGATGTAAGTAGAAAATCTGTGGAAGGAACAAAAAGAAAAAAGAAAATCTGTAGAAGGTTTAGGATGAACCATTCATAATATACAGAGGTGTCTCTCTCCTTCCCCTTCCTTCCACCTTCCCACTCTCATAAATAATGACGCCTACAAAGTGCTGCTTTATAATTGTAATCTCTATTCATAGCTTTAAAGAAAGTAATTTTAACTTTCTTAGGAGCATAGAGAATATTAACCTGCAGTATTTTGGGATGATCTATTCTGCACTTGGGATCTTTCCTCTGTTCTGATATGTCCTGACTTTTATAGCCTATTCTTTCCTGTCATGGTATTTATAGCCTACTCTATAAATATAATACAATTGGACCTTGTTGTTTCCATGATAAATTTAAATGCCAGTGAATGAGGCCAAATGTGGCTGCAAGTCTCAGTGCAGTAAATGCTCCATGTCTGCTAGATTGAGTGTTTTGACATGCGGGGGGGTTCCATAAAGGCTGGATGTGTCTCCCTTTACCACTTCAGAATTCAGTGCATTTGATAAAATTTAGCTCTCCAGCCATACCTGGTCCTCATTGATCACCCTAACCGCCCCCAAAAACACCCATCCAGGAACATTTTCCATCTAAGAGGGCACTGGTTTTATTGTCTGGAATTTCTGTAGGATACCCTTCTGTCTTCCGTGTATCCTCCTGAGGCAGAAAGCCTTGAGTTGGGAGCTGGTGGAGGAAGGCGATTAATGGTTTGTGTGGGAGAGGAGTCTGGAGTCAGGTGGTAACAGCGCTTCTTTTTTTTTGTTTTTAAAGCTGTGCTATACTGACATTCTCTTCACAGAGCAAGAGGTAAGTGTGCCTGGGGAAATCTGACTGTTGTCCACATTGGACCCAGCGGGTCCGGCTCTTCAGGGAATGTGGGGGAGCCTTTATGTTAATACTTTGCTCTGTACTGCACCCCCCCCCTCTTTCCCATCTCATACCTCTTTATCTCGTAGCTTCTGCCGGTCATCCCCTGATCTAGTACTTGAAAGAGAGCGGGGCAGGCAAGCGGTAGAGTAGGTGGAGGGAACTTCCTACCCTTGACTGGATTTAATTTGGCCTAGGAGGGCAAATGCTAAGAGGTGATGTCTACATTAATGCTCTCAGTTATATAGAAACAACAGAATTTTTTAAATGACATCATCCTTAAATCTGTACGATGATTCCATCCACATGATGATCTCTTTCTAGGAGTAGTTTCTCTTTGAGAATGGCTTCCTCTGTCTTTGTGCTTCTCTTCTATGTAAAGCAGTGAGCATACATCGCTGTCTTTCCCATTCCAGCTGGTGGGTGTTTCTTCCCTGGATCTTTCCCCTACTCTCTGACCCCCTCTTTTCTCTCTCCTTTATTTCTGTCTCTTTTTCTTAGCCATATGGAGAGCTCAAGTTCGTAAGTGTGATTTACTAAAGGAACTTTGAGCAGTTCAGGCTTATGATAAGCAATCAACATATGTTAGCTATTGCTGTTTTTTAATATGTTTGGCTAGATTTTTTTTATACTTCTTGTTATAACTTTTTTTTTAAAGTAGGCTCCACCCCCAGCATGGAGCCCAACTCTGCGCTTGAACTCTCAACCCTGAGTCAAGAGTTGGATACTTAGGGCGCCTGGATGGCTCAGTTGGCTGAGCAACTGCCTTTGGCTCAGGTCATGGTCCCGGAGTCCTGGGATCAAGTCCCACGTCGGGCTGCCCCTGCTCTGCGGGGAGCCTCCTTCTCCCTCTGCCTGCCACTCCCCCTACTTGTGCTCTCTCTGTCAAATAAATAAATAAAATCTTAAAAAAAAAATCCATTAAAAAAGAAAAGTTGGATACTTAACCAACTGAGCCACCCAGGCACCCCTAGCTTTTTTTTTTACATAGATTTTTTTTTTCTTTTTAAAGTAATCTTCACAACCAATGTGGGGCTCGTACTCACATCCCCAAGGTAAAGAGTCGCATGCTCTACTGACTGAGCCAGCCAGGAGCCCCTCTTGTTATAGCTTTTATATGTGTGTGTGTAATTTTTTTTTTTTTCTGGTTCCCAAGGTTTAATCAAGAACTCATATAAAATATTTCAGATAAATGCATTTTAATCTTTCTCTTCATCCTGGTTAATCTGGAAACAACACAATTCATAACTGTCTTTGCAGTTGGCAGCTGCTCGCAGTCACATAGATTATTCTTCTTCACATATTTTTTGGGGAGATATTTTAAATGCCTTTTGGAAAAAGACACTTCGGAAGTTACAGTAATCTTGCTCTTGCACCTTTCAATGGTTACAACCCCTCCACCAAGATTCCTAACTTTGCCATTCACTTTGATTCTCTCTTGAAGAAACTGTTCAAAAATGGTGGCATCCATGATCCCATCTTCCACTGAGTGGGGGCAGTCAAGGTAAAGTCCAGAACTTGCTTTTTTTTTTTTTGGTCCCCTCTTTGCCACAAGCTTTTTCATGGGCACCACGGGGCAGCAGGGGCAGAAAGGGCATCATGGTTTTTTAAACCCTAAAATGCCCCAGGGTGTTTCTTTTTACTTACATGATGCTTCAGTTATTGTTTTTGTTAGCAGTGTATGAAGGTAAGATTGTAGGATGCTGGATTCTCTGTTAGGTTTAATCCTGCTTTACTTGCTTGTTCAGTTTTATTTTTACTTTTTTTTTGTATTTGAACCAAACCCCCGCAAAAATGATGTTTAACACCAAGATATTTCATCTTCAAGGGTCATTCTGGTTAGAGGCTTAGATAAACACACTCAAGGAGAGACATCAGTGTAACTTACTAGCAGCCGGCAAGCCCCAAGAGCAGAAGGAAGCCCTCTTGCATAGGAAGAAGTCTTGATTGCTCTCTCTGTCTTTGTGACTTTCAGAGAGGTGTTGGCATCAAAAGCACTCCTGTGACAGTGGTCTTGCCAGATACCAAAGGAAAATCTTACCTCTTCAATATCATGGACACTCCAGGTAGGACATTCCATTTTCTATCAGAACCTTACCCTCTTTGGGGCGCCTGGGTGGCTCAGTCATTAAGCGTCTGCCTTCGACTCAGGTCATGATTCCAGGGTCCTGGGATCGAGCCCCGCATCAGGCTCCCCGCTTGGCGGGAAGCCTGCTTCTCCCTCTCCCACTCCCCCTGCTTGTGTTCCCTCTCTCGTTGTGTCTCTCTCTGTCAAATAAATAAATAAAATCTTAAAAAAAGAAAAAAAGAAAAAAAAAAGTGCCTGCATGTGGTCGATGGCTGTTAACTATTTACTGAGTGAATGATTGGACAATCAGGCTACGTTTCCTCTCATCTAATTCCAAACTGTGTTGTGCTCTCGTGCGCTGCCCACGTGAGCACTGAGGAGACATCGCCGCAGAGCAGACATGTAGCAGAACCTTGAAGTATTCAGACCCTTCAGCCCAGCAGTTTTGCTAATAGAAATTATCCTAAAGAAATAAGGAGTGATGTTTCAATACGGGCGTGCAAAAAGTGGTTCATTATGGGCGCCTGGGTGGCTCAGTCGGTTGAGCGTCTGCCTTTGGCTCGGGTCATGATCTCGGGGCTTGGGATCAAGTCCCACGTCGGGCTGCTTGCTCAGCGGGGGGTCTGCCTCTCCCTCTGCCTGCAGCTCCCCTTGCTTGTGCTCTCTCTCTCTGTGTCAAATGAATAAATAAAATCTTAAAAAAAAGGATATGCTATGATAAGCCATTTGTTTTCTCCAGTCTCGATCCACTTGTGACCGGTGGCCCACATTTAAGAAGGGGCTAGCTTAAAGCCAGAGAGCCGTCGGTAGCCATGGCTTACTGTGAAGGATCACATAAGAGCAGGACCTGCCCTGCTGACTCTTTGGCACAGAACTCAAAATAAGAAGCTGCCAAGCCTGGGGAGTCATTGCTCTTAACTCGTATAATGTAGACAGTCACTGAGAAGGAAGGCGCACACCTCTCCTGCCCTCCTCCCCTCTCTTGCTCTTAGATGGACGATGACGATGACGACGATGATGTAGGAGACCATGATGAGGACCACCCTGGGATGGAGGTCGTGCTGCACGAGGACAAGAAGTACTACCCCACAGCTGAGGAGGTGTATGGCCCTGAGGTGGAGACCATCGTTCAGGAAGAAGACACCCAGCCTCTCACCGGTAAGTCCGGAGGCACCGGGTTGGGAGAGGTGAGATGGAGTCTGGAAAACTTCAGGTCATAGCTGTCAGCAGTGTTGAAAGTTCAGTGAATGATTCGCTTCTCTCTACTATTTTCAGGTACTGCTTCTGGATTGAGATTCCTTTTACCCTGTTTTAATATTCAGTACAACTCGTAGCTTGTTACAAAGCAAATGGGAGTTACTTCTTTATTTACTGAATATCTGTTTAGGTGCTTAAAGACTATTTTTGTTTGTTTTGTTTTGGGGTTTTGGGTTTTTGTTTTGTTTATTATTTGTTTTTAAAGATTTTATTTATTTCTTTGTCAGAGAGCACAAGCAGGAGGAATGGCTGAGCAGGGAGCCTGATGCGGGACTTGATCCCCGGACCCTGGGATCATGACCTGAACTGAAGGCAGACACTTAATTAATTAACTGAGCCACCCAGGCACCCCTGTTTTGTTTTTTATGTAGGCTCCATGCCCGGCATGGAACCCAACAACGGGCTTGAGCTTACGACCCCGAGATTAAGACCTGAGCTGAGATCAAGAGTTGGACACTTAACCGACTGAGCCACCCAGGTGCCCCAACTTAAAGACTATTTTTAAGTTCTCCCTCTGGTGTGATCTGTTTTTCCATCGAAATCATCCTAACTCCTAGGGACGCCTGGGTGGCTCAGTCGTTAAGCATCTGCCTTCGGCTCAGGTCATGATCCCAGGGTCCTGGGATCGAGCCCCACATAGGGCTCCTTGCTCAGCGGGGAGTCTGCTTCTCCCTCTCCCACTCCCCCCCTCTTGTGCTCTCTCTCTCTCACTCTCTCTCTGAAATAA